TACGTCACACTCACATGGCCCGCAAGTCTAGGTGTGCAAAATTTTGGCCTTTTGTTCAAAAACCTTGCCCACCCCTGCACTAGTCTGTCTGTGAAGTTGTGTATATTATCATTGTTACGTTAAGGTTGCACTGTTGCTGTTAAGCTTGAACTTGATTGGTCAAGTAACCCCACATATATTGTTTCAACTTCCGCGCTATTGCCTGATTTGAGTCACTCATCATTTATAGCTTGAACTTGAGGCAATTTATATTTCTCAGTCACACAAACTTTGACCAAGCTTCCTGAATTTGAATAAATGCATCTCGATTCTCGAATCGTATAAATCTGGCTGCAATTCATACATTCCCGGAGAAGAAACAAAAAGGTACTCCATCCTCAAAATGTTGGTTATTGGATAATAAACTGTGGCCATTTCACGTCGGATTATTCCGGCCTGGGTTGCAGATTTGAATCACATGGGGTATAATTATTTGTGAGAGTATTGTAGCAAGGTGATTCACATAGCCACTGGTCGGTTACGGCTTCATCCACCAGCAAGTTCATGCATCCGAAACAAACAACTGGCTAACTAACTCCATACCCGACATGGACTGGTAACGGCCAACGGGACGAGAGGTGGTACGGCTTATCCAATAAAAATGATATCTCATCCTAATAAATCCAGCGTGGGGTGCGAATAATTTGAAAAGACTGGGATTGAATGCCAATGGTACCACTGTTGGACTAAGCCCTCTCCGCTACTCATGCTCATATGTCTGCAATTGGTCATCTATATCCGTGCAAAGTAACGAGACAAAAGACTGTGGTCCATTGTATGATTAGGAGATTCTACCAACATACTCACACTTTCTACTAATGTTTGAAAAAAAACCCAACAAAACAAGACTATGAGTAACAAAGAAAATGATAAAGTGTGTATATTATTTATTGCATCTTTAAACTCTGTATTGAGTAAAATTTGCACGCAATCGAAGATCCCCCAATAAAACACATGATTAAATTGAAATTTCTCCAACAGTCAATTTCAGGTACAAATATTACGGGGGTCACTTGGCTAGTCCCTGAACTCGGAATATAACTAAAATGAGGAAAATTGGAAAGATATTATGACCTAACCATAACCTGGTACACATACTATGTTCCGGTGTCCACCATCTTGGTTCACATACTACGGGAGCGCCCTTACTTAATGCTCAAAAACCAAAGTACTTCCTAAAATAGTCCGTACATTGGAAATTTTTTGGAAGTGATTATAACTTGACATTCAGAACTCATGCTATTGGTAGCCAATGAGCAGATGCATATCTCCCGGTGATATATCTGAAATAAGAATATGTGGCCAAGTATAAAACAAGGTCTGTTATGTGGTAATCATAGAATCATATAGATTAGGGTTTCCCAAACTTTCCATTATGCCATTATGCTGAACCACCTGGCAACATTTCCTCAATTTGTTTTACCTGTCTTTCAATATCAGTGAGCAAGGAGGAAGCTCCAATCCGAAACAAGTCATTTCTCATCCATTCATCACCCAACTCTTCTTTCATCAAGGCAAGCCAAGTACGAGCGTCCTTCGCACTACGGATTCCTCTTGCTGGTTTGAATCCAACCTGAGAAAACAATGTCAACACGAATAAACACTATAAATCAGTGGTTCTCAAACGGTAGGGCGCACCCCAGAAGGGGTCGTAGACAATTTGATCTCGTATATTTTGGATACTCGCATTTTTACTTTTCCAGTCAAAAGCAACTGCACTAATAAAATTAATAAAAAATTTTGCTTGTTTTTGAAACTTCGTTTCCTCATTTCTTTATTTACGTTCCATCCGCATATTTTCAACATGTGATTTAAAAAACATACTTCCACCTTACTATATGCTATTTGTAGCTTATTTATAGCTAGTTATTTTTGAGGTGTGGCCCAAGACTTGACAAATTCTAAAAATGAGATGATGCGTGGCCCAAAAAGTTTGAGAACCGTTGCTATAGACATTTCACCGTGGTTTTGAAAGAAAAGAAAATGAAAATTTTTTTTTAAATTATGAGAGTTGAATATAACACATGACAAAAGTTGACTCTTCAATTTTCCAAACATACCTTATAACCTGTTTTCTGATAATACTCTCTGATAGCTCTAACCATCACTAATCCAACAGGTACGAAATAGCACTTTTTTCCGATTTTAAGAGCAAAAATTCCAAGTTGACAATTATTTTTGTGCCAGTATGAAGTTGACAAATAAGTTGCCTACTAGTACTTTTGTAACCCAATTTTGCATTACATAAGATATTTGCTGGAATTCTAACCTATGTGGTGCATACATTTGAGATAAAGCTTTCGCATTAAACGGCAAAATTCTTGTTTATAATATGATTATTATACAAGCACACCGATTCCGCTTCTCCCGCAAAAACAGTTGGCGGCGTCTTTGAAACCAGATGTCCTAATACAAAGCAGTGCGTTTCTTCAAACGAGAGTGGTCATGTGACTGTCAATGACATCGATGAATTGTGACCAAATTACACGATTTTCTAGTGCAAGTTTGACGGGATTTGTTCCTTCCTTAGTGAATTTATTGGAGTCATTCAGAAAGTTGATTAATCGAATACAGGGGAAGCATTTATTTATCATCTCACTGGCCAACATCTGGCGGAATTGTACGATCATGTTGTCTTCCTTAAATAATAACTTTTTTAATGAATGTTTATATTTTACGTCTGAGTATTAATTATGATATGTTCTTGTTGGGTTTTCATTTATTTCAAATTAGAAATTGTCCGTGATGCCCAAATAGATGTATAATAATAATATTATAGTGTAAGCGAGTAACCAACATACCAAAGGAAAGTCTAAGGAACTTGAGGCGCTCAGCCAGGATTACGGTAGAATTAAATACCGGTAAGTGCTTTAATCGTACAATTTACAACTCCGTAAGACGTCTGTTAAAAACATTCCAGAGTTTCGTGTAGCTCGCCTCCCTCTGTAGTCGGTTGGTGAATATTAGGTATGCCTATTTCAAGAATATACTTGCTAATCTTCGACCATTATTTAATTCGCAATCAGTTGTAACCACGTAGCGTTTTTTTTCTTCATAAATGAGGTATTTCCGGAGAGAAACAAATGTTAGAAATGGAACGATAAAAATAGTGAAAATTAATTTCAAGAGAAAAGTAAAACTCGCGAGTATCAATGGTTTTACAATCGTTTATATGCGCAAAAAACATTGATTAAATGTGCATGAAATGTGTGAAACTATTACTCGTGGTAATTTAATGTTAATCTTTTTATTGTCATTCTATGAGTATTTACCTACACGTGATTAGAGACTGGCAAAATCAGATTTTTTCTAATAGAATAATTTGAATATTAAGACTGAAAACTCGGTAACAAGGCCGAGTGTTTACTTCCTAATTTTGTCACAATCGCGGATTATTTTTTGTCACTGTGACCGTTTCAGAGGCCAACATCCTAATTATTGTTGCACTATTTTTTAAAGCTTTTTTTCCACAAGTAATAATTCTCACGCAGCGGCGGATATTAAAGTTATTTTTATATTTCAAGCTGAACTATGAGTTCACATGGGCGTAAATCAAAGTGACAATGTATAACAAAAATTAAAATAACTAACAGATAGGTTACAATTACATCAGACCTTTTCGTGCCGTTTTGCACGAGTGAATTCATATGCGTAACCCATCTGACAGTTATTTTAATTTTTGTTGTATATTGTGACTCTACTAAGTTTTATCAGGGGATACGTGAGCCCAACTAATTTACCTTGCTCGGCGCTCTTGAAGTATGTATACCAATTTGGAGATAACTAATTTTGTTCACTTATTTTACATCAATTTGTGTAACGGGACTGAAACCTATGGACGGGGTATATTCACTTGGCTAACACTCACAGTCCCCGAGCTCGTAATGGAATTGATGAACAAGGAAAATCAGGATAAAAGTATGGCCTAACCCTAACTTGGTACACATACTTCGGGAGTACTCCTTGCTCTATGCTATTGCAGCAGTGGAACCGTAAGTGTATATATAATGCAAAGATGCTATAGCAAGAATAAAGGTAACTATTCATATTTGATTCAAAAGTTTTGCTGCATACTAACACAAATGTATTTCTGCAACGTTGACGGGGATCAGACTTTTCCAGACCAACAACTATGACTAGAAAAAGTATGCAACAAGACTCTTGACTGGAATCAAATAAAAATTTAAAAGCTTACAAAATTATGGGTTAATTTATTTGGAAGTTGGAATTTAGGTGCGGCGGTGTGGCTCATATACTAAGCGCCAGGAATATGCCATATGGTTAAGCCATCTTATCGTCAATTCTATCCCCCGGGATAAATATGTAAACCCTATCCTACAATACTTACCAGCCATCATTGCTACCAGACTTGATTTATAAACATTTGTCATAGTTCCTAAATCTCCTGTTCCGAGTATTGTTTTCATATGAATACATTCACCACATGCTTTCTTACATGCCTTCGAAAATGCCTTGAAAAATATTCAGAATCGTAAACAAGTCATAATTTATATTTACACTTTGAAACTTAGTTTTTAGGGATACTGTTTTTAGAGACAAACCAGAATTCAGACAATGAGTGGGTACAAGTTCCGTTTCGAATATAAAAAGGAATTTGCTGATGTCAAACAAAGTCGAAGGGTAAGAGCCATATTATGCTCACTGCTGCTATTGTGACAGCGATATCAACCTGGAGGCCATGGGAAAAACAGCAATTAGCAATATCAGCGATAAAGTGCGCTTAAATCAGTTGCACGTTTGTTTGAAAGCAGTACTGTTTTTCACGGACCATTTGGCGCTCTACATATTTTTCCTCTCTCAAAAATTATTCGTGCCTTATAAGTATAGTATGGTGCGCCTAATATATAGATCAGGTAGTGCTTTATGTTTATTCCCCACATCCATCCTCAGGATGTCTTGCGTATTAACATCCTTACAAGCCGCCACTTATATGTAAAGAACGACTAGAGTACGAATCCCACACAAAGGGACTGCGAAGCCCAAAACAAATTCGAAACTAAACAAATTTGAAAAAATAATTTCATCTTTCTAACCTTTCCAATCTCCATGTAAAGCTTCGGTTCTCGAAATCACAATATCAATTTCAGAAGCTCCCGACTCGACTGCCCTTTGAATTTCGATCAATTTGATTTCCAAAGGAGTCTGTCCTGCAGAAAAGCCAGTTGCAACTAGAAAATAACAAAATAACATTTAATTCGGTCATAATCATTTCATACAGACTGTAAAAAAAGTAATGCAAATCCAGGCTGGGTATTCAGTAAACTGAAAGCACGCATTAGTAATGACTATAGCGATATGCCAACTAAATAACATGTTGTGTGTTAGCATATGGAAAGGGTATTAACGAAATAGCAAATATTAAAATTTGGATGACAGTTTTAATGGTAAATTACAAAGAAAAAGCTGCTTTTTGAACTGTTTTTTTAATCAGAGTTTGAAGCCATATTCACCAAATAGTTAAAATTAAAAAATATATCTGTTTTTCTTTCTTTTTTTTAAAACAGTTTTTTTTCTTCAAATTTCACCTTCCCTGCATAATAAAGCTTGGGGAGATGTATAAGTATAAAACTATTAACAGCTTGAAAAGATTGAATAAAGCACAATAAGAATTCTCATGATAACCCCGAAGAAAACTGATAAAATAGATTCCAACTTCGAACCATATTTCCTGAAATAACTAGGAATCCTCTTGATTATAATTTCCCACCAACTGCAAACCCAGGCTGGGTAATCAATTATTCAAGGGCAAGCAATTTCAAATGGCTAGAACAATATGCCAACTATAGAGATTGATTAATTCATGATGTATGAGAGCATATCGTTTAAGTCAGGGGTGTGCAACCTTTAATACAGGAGGGCCAGATAGAAATAACTGGTTGAAACCACGGGCCGCACCTTAACATGCGCTATCTAGTAGTAGGAACGAAAATTTTGGTTATTGATTTTGTGACATGCGTTGTTTGCACAAACTAGATGTTAATAAGACATTTTAAAGTCATAGGCATGGATAATAAATTGGACCCATGTATGGACACAACGTAATGGGATTAGAGTTCTCCATACAAAAAATAAACTTGTTTTGCAATCTGCACATCATTCAAAATTTGCACTTCCCACTCGTGCTGCAAAATTTTCCTTGAGAGCTGCAGGTTGAACAGCCCTGTTTGCGTAAATAATAGTAATAGGTCGAACTAAAACGCGATCCAGCCTGATGCAACAGGAATATTATTGATTCCAGCAGCTTTGAAACATTGAACTGCTTCTTGCACTCTGGCTGGGTAGACACACACAGCTCCTACTGCTATACCTACAGATTGCAATTCACTGCATTACTGAACAAAATAAATGGGAGGAATGATGAGATTCATGAGAACTATGAAATAATTTGTATTAAGTCATCCCAAGAAATATAGGTACTGCCGTAGTATATGTACCAAGTTAGGATTAGGCCATAATTTCATTCCAATTTTCTTTTTTTAGTTCTATTACGAGTTCGGGGACCGTCTGTGTTAGCCAAGTGAATACACCGTCTGCCCATCGGCTTCTGTCCCTTTACACAACTTGATGTAAAGTAGGCGAACAAAATTAGTTACCTCCATAGTGGTACACATACTTCTGGAGCGCCAAAATATAATATTTAAATACATTTGAAAATAAACAACAAAACTTGCAGCGCAATAAATTTGATATTTTTTACAATACGAGTTTTCATGAAAAATGCTTCACATTGAAGTTATTTTTCAGTAAATTTATAGCCTACTCCTTAACAGCAAATTGAAATTGTACCGATTGTTCTACACCAGGGGTGGGCAACTTCTCTAGTCGGCGGGCCAGATGTGGGAAAATGAAGTTCTCGGCGGGCCGAATAATAACATGAATAGTATTCAATATCTTAATCACATATTTATTCGCTAATGCAAGAAAGAAAATTATAAATCCAGTTCAAAGTAAAGTTTAAACTACAAAAAATAGGGACCAAAAAACCCATAATGAATTTATCATATTGTACTAAAAGTGTAATAATGTAATATCATAATGTACTGATGTACAGTCAGCGGGCCGGTCAAAATCTCGCCGTATGTTGCCCACCCCTGTTCTATACCAATTGTTATGAAACGATGGGGGATGCTCTACAAGGGGGAGAGGTAGACAATTTTTAAGGGGGTGTGAAGCTGAATAAACGAAAAAATATTGAATATTGACATTTCAAATATTATGTACACATATTTTCAACAAGTTTTTTGAAAAAAAATTATACCTCAGCCATGCTGTCATTTGTAGCCTATTGTTAGCTATTTTTTGGAGATGGGCGAGGGACTTGACAAATTCTAAAGAGGGGGCGGGGCGTTCCATGAAAAGTTTGAGAATCACTGTTTTAGATTAAATATTTAGAAACAGAAACAATTGCAAAGCAATATCTCACCAGCATCCTTCATGTCGAAAGCTTCAATTAAATCATCTCTGATTGGATGTTGAGCTTTATAGCAAAGTCTTTGTTCGTTTGAAAAAGTGTCATCTCATGATAAAGGCATTGAATCAATACATGTTGTTGCTCTCAATAACCAAGCCGCCTGTTAGAAAATAATATTTTGTGACTGATATATGATTGTGTTTGAACAAATGTCCAAACTCTTAGACTTTGTTTCGTGAGATCGTTATTGTAAAATATCAAATTTTGTAAACGCTACCGCCTACCGGTATTGATTTTAAAAGTTAATTACCGGTACCGGTACCGGTATGGCTTGAAAAGTTCAAATTACAATTAAACCCACCTGCCATGCTTTTTTCAGTTCTTTTCTTTAGCACAAAGTTTCTGCTCTTCTATTTACAGCGGGAAGATTTACTAGGCTATAGTATAATTCGTTGAACCCAATCTGAATCTGTAATAAGACAAAGTCACAACGATTTGCCACATACCGTAATACTGCAATATCATAAGAAGAGCACAATATTTGCATGCATACCGGCAATGGTAGAGTGATTGCAGCATTATTTAATTTACGGTACTGATTTAGTAAACTCAGGTAGTCTACTGTATCTTACCGGTATCTAGTCGACAGGTAGGGCTGTAGGCCAGACCAAAGCGTATATATAATATAAGCGAGGCAACACTCGGACAATTGACGCCATCTTGTGCCTATTGTTCTCGGCAATTTAACACGGCGCCTTAGTAAAAGTTCCAACACAATTATTGGAACATACCTATTATTTTCACTAATATTTTAGATTTATAGTACATTAAATTGTCTTTGAAGACAAGTATACCGGTTCCGAGTTGCTTCCGAAGTAAATTGGTCATTCTAATCGTCATAATTAACCATTTGACAATGGCGTTCCTTATGACGTCACAGATGAAAAGTTGTATTTATTCTTCGAAATTACCGGCCGACCCAACTTTGCTTCAATAGCCGTTTCTATTTTCTGGTTAACATTTTTCGTCTGCCAAGCTCCATAATGCTCTACTGCTCAGCTTCAAGCTGCTCTAGAAGAACAAATGACATTGTAGGATTGTTGCGGAGACATTTTACAGCCTCAAATTGGCGTATCACTATAAAATCTCTATAAAATCAAAATTAGCGAAAAACTTTAGAAATAATGTTTGGGGGTCAAACGTCCATTTTTGCTAGGATTCAACGCATTTTTTATTCAATACCGGTAATTTTACACGGATGCATTGAGAGGTATCTAATGTCGAAGTCAGTTGCACGCGGGCGCAGTTGTTTTGCACGCCGTGAGCTATATTTCAGTAATTGGACGCCAGGAATTCTTATTTGCACGCGAGAATTTCTGATTGCACGCCCGATTTCTCGTTCAAAAAGGTCATGAAATCCAGACTGGACTGTAGCAGTACCGGTAACTGGTTGTTTGATTGGAATAACCAGTTATCTGCACACACAGACATACCGGTACCAATCATACATAAAGAAGGCTTCAATTTTGAAATTGATGGGAGCGCATAGTTTTGCAATTACGAATTAACATTGGTACCAATCTGCCAATGTCAGAACGCTGGAATGCACAAACAATCTGAACGATAGGAAAACTTCACATTCTGAAATTTATCTAAAATTTTACCGAGTTCAATTCCTGGATTTCGTGATGAAATTTTGTTCTCCGTTCAGCAGCTACCGGACTTAACACAACTAAATAAACATGTTATTACGGTAAGAACACGCACTGTCAGACTGTACAGCCGACGTTACAACAGCACATTTGGCAAAACAAAAATGCATGAACCTTTCCCCGATCTTTGACCTTTATTGTTTTGATTTTGGTCGCTCAGACAATCATTGCAAATATTCAGACTTGTGTAGGGCG